GGAATCGAAGAGCAACTGGGCAAGGCGAAGAGGTTTAGCGGCCAGCTTCGTTTCCTTGCTGTTAACACCTTCTTCCTTTTGCAACAGTTGACATTGGCAAAGCTAACGAAGTTCCAGCATCCTATCTGTTTTGGTTGCGAATTTTTAAAAATGCTGAAATCAAATCCCACGTCTCTTTCGAGTGTTATTTTGCTTTTCAGACTGAATTGACTCGCAGAATCATCATCAGTGATGTTTTGTGGATGTATTTGTGTATGTATCTTCACTGTTCCAGACTCTTCCAAGAAACTGTATTTTTGAAGAATGGCAACGAATAATTTTTCTTGCAACAAATGTAAGTTTAGCTTTGTCTTACAATTGTCATATGTGCCACTTCAACTGTTTTTTGACTTTTCTTATCTCTCTGTTTATGTTTTTCTCTCTTTTAATCTGTTCTGGTTATTGGTGGCACCAGTCTTATTGTGGTGCATTCCATCGTTACATCACTAACATTTTTGGGGGCAAGCATGCCACTCTCTGATTTATGCTTTTTCCACATAATTTTATTCGCTGTACTAGCCTTAAATATATAAATGTTGAACACGGAGTGCACTTTTTTTACCGCACAGCGTGGCATGTTTTCCTGGGCTTGAGCTTCATTCCGCGCCATTGTCAGATGCAGCATTTGAACTAAACTAAATTTTGACCCCTTTTGTTTTTTAGGTTCGGATTTGTAGGAAGGAAGATCAGCTTAAATCGGGCGAGATTTTAGCAATCAAGTTTTTGAAACCCTGGGTCATGAATCCCGGATTATCCCCGATTAATCCACGTTATTACCATATTTTCATTGTCTCAGTTCGTGGTTTGTTTCAGTTTTTGGAAGATTTGTTTCATTTGTGGAATATTTGCCGCATTCGTAATCATGATAAAAGAGACCGCTCTATTGAAATCACGATTTTCCCTGAAGCGATTCCCGCATAAGTGCTACATTTACTGTAGGGTTTTTCACTGGCGGAAAGGAGGAGAATGAGGTGAACAAAAATGGCTGAAGTTAAAACATCCACAAATTTACTAATATTAGACCGCTTTTTTCACGGATTATGCGGTGATGACGAGCTCAGGGGATTTGGGAGGGTGGGGCGGAGGCCGAACCATGAATTTTAGTCTCAGGAAGACGCGAAAATTAATTTTATACGTCGAATCTCTTGCATCTCGAGGAATAAACTTTTGGAATTTCAGCCTTCCAGCTTTTGTAGTTCTGAATTATAAAGGATTGATTATATTGAGCGCAAATTTGCAGCATATGAAAGGAATGACTGCAGTGGTATCTCTTCTCCCTTCCCCCCCCCCCC